TCATGCATCCAAAGTTTTGTTGCAACAACAATACACAATGAGGGAATTTTTTGAGTATTTTGATTTAGTTGCAGCCCTTTTAGTAGTAGAACAAAATAATAAGCTCTTTATCAAAAACCACCAGTCACGTCCCACAAGAACAATAACATATCCGGAGATAAATGCCACAATATTTAATCAAAGGCGTGGTGACTATAATCGTAATAAAAAACGTGGATGTTATGCTCGTTTTGAGGATCCTAGTCGAGGCGGATATCACGGTCGAAACCACTTTCATGGTCGAGGTCATGGACGAAGTTATGTGAATAATTATAGATTTCCCATATATGACCAAACTAACAGGTATCGTCAAGGTAGGGGTACTTATATCCAAGAGGGTCCCTCAAGGAATTATGATGATTTGTGTTATAGATGTGAAAGAAAGGTCGTTGGTGTAAGACATGTAAAACACCCGAGCATTTGTGTAAAAGAAACAGGTTAGCAGAAGGCTTTTCTTTTAGGTACTCGCACCAGAATTGGTAGACCTTCACATACGCCCAAGTTGCGGGGTAAAGTTGTGAAGCAGACATGGTCAAATGCTTTAGGACTTCTAACTCAAAGGCATTAAAGGGTAATAGAAGACCTGAGGCGCAAAAAGTGTGATCATAAAAAGGAATTTCATAATCGTCATACTTACTGCATACTCTTTCACCTTTAGTAGGAGTTAAGGCACCTCAATCATATGATGGACCAACTTCAAGAAATGCTCCATCGAGACTACCACTCTTGAAAAAAATAAAAACGATGGAAGAGTAAGCAAAATTCGTCTAAGAAGATTAAGCACTCTTCTGAGATTTGCAAGCACTCTTTTATGATTTTTTACCTATAATGTACTAACATTTCAGATGCAGGAAAGTGAAAGGCCAAAGAAGAAGATAACCATAAAATTAAGGAAAAGACATAGAGAAAAATAAAATTGACTCTTAAAGAACTGTGCTTTAGCATTCAAAAGAAATTAGTATTTATCAAACATGTCAAAATCACCCACACGCAACACTCAAGTGTTTCAGTTCTCAAAAGTTGTAATGATGGCACTTCCAAAAGGATATTTGAGGCATGGAACGTTAAATGCACAAATACCCAAGGGTCTGAAATATTTTATTTTGCTCTTCCAAACAAAAAAACGATAGTAATCGATAGTCGAAGATGAAGTAACAAACTCATGCCTTAATGAGTATAGACACAGGGCTTGGGGGCAACTGTTATGGGTCGGCCATATCGACCCTGTTCGACTATTCTGAGTAAACAATAATCCTTCCAGAATTTTTTTAAGACGCGATAATTATCCTTATGGAGATGGCAAAGATCTCAATTGCAAGTACATCCAACAACTCTCCGCAATTCACTCTTAACAAATAGTCGATTGATTATTCTCTCTCTAATATATATATATATATATATATATATATATATATATATATATATATATATATATATATATATATATATATATATATATATATATATATATATATATATATATATATATATATATATATATATATATATATATATATATATATATATATATATATATATATATATATATATATATATATATATATATATAGAGAGAGAGAGAGAGAGAGAGAGAGAGAGAGAGAGAGAGAGAGAGAGAGAGAGAGAGAGAGAGAGAGAGAGAGAGAGACAAATTCAGATAGGAAGTTTCAAACACAATTTGAATTCACTCTTCTATCTCACATACTGACTTAAGCATTAAAGTGCTAATCTTGCAGGTCAGTCCCCTCTCCACCCCGTCGGAAGCTCATAACCACCACCACTTCTGATCCTCGCTCCATTTTTTATTTTCGAACGAAACATTTTCATATAATGTTGTTAAGAAATATCGATCAAGCAAATTTTTTGTATAATGGAACACAGCTAAAAGTTAAATTACTTGGCACAAATATATATATATATATATATATATATATATATATATATATATATATATATATATATATATATATATATATATATATATATATATATATATATATATATATATATATATAAACTAATGTTGTCACCGAAAAAATGTTAGTGGAGAAATATTGATACCAAGAATGAAATTAGTGTTTTATAATTCCGTATTTCATTTAGGCTATGTTTGAATTCAGTAAAATGAACATAGCGGAATGAAACGATATGGAATGGAGTGAAGCAAAATGAAATAAAGATATCATTCTATTGTTTTGATATTTTATGACAAAATATAGCAATTTTATCATTCTACCTAAATTGAAAAATACAAAAAGTAATGGAAAATTATGGAATAGAATGAAATGTATTCTATCACATTCTCATCCATTTCATCTATTTTTAATTAATCCAAACAATAAAATTTAAGTTTATGTCAGAATCCAAAAATAATTTCAAATTTCAAATGAGACACTATCAACAAAAACTATTTATAACTACATTTAAAAGTTAAATTGTATCTATTTCTATTGGTTTTTATGTATGCTATTATATCTCAGAGTGACAATTAAAAAAAGTTTTGAAAATGATCATATCTCAGAGTGACAATTAAAAAAAGTTTTGAAAATGCTCATTATATATGAAGATAACAACATATGAAATTCATTAAAAAAAAATTGTTTATCATGAGATTTTTAGAAACATGTATATCAAAATCACGTGGTATGTTAAAATTTGTTTTCTTTATTTATAATTTTAACATTATATTTCTATCAAATTATTTATTTACTCAATATACTGTTGTAAGTAAATATTAACATGTTGATATTTTTTTAGATGCAGATTGTATCGTTCAAGTTGCAGCAACATCATTCAAAGACTTTTAGATAATTAGACACAATTAGCATAATGTTTAGAGTGAGTCAATGATATATTTTTTTCATTAGTTAGATCTATTGGGTTTTGAAATACCTATTTTTTTTATTAGATTTAAAATGTATTACTATCATACTCAAGTTTAGCAAAATATTAGCTAGCAGGATATTACTTAGAAAAGAAAAAAAAAATTATGCATTCTTTAACATAACAACAGTTCTAGTGAATGTTATATATATAACATGATGAAAACTGCACAACAGGATCCGTGGCGCAATGGTAGCGCGTCTGACTCCAGATCAGAAGGTTGCGTGTTCGATTCACGTCGGGTTCATTGTATCCTTTTCGGGTTTTTTGAAGCAAATGAACACGAAAAGATGACGAACATGCAACAGCATAACTAAGAATTGAAGCAGATGAACACGAAAAGATGACGAACATGCAACAGCATAACTAAGAGATTCAGTTGATGTCATGATCTTTGAGGATCCTGTAGTTGTAACCATGAATCCTGTTGAAATTATTGTTTTCTGTTACTACTTGTCTAACACATGTTTTTGTTCTTTGCTTCTGCATCTTTAAAAACATCCAGAAACTTGTCTTCGTTTTGCTAATCTTCACAAAAAGTGGGTGAGAGTTTTGTGAATTCCCTGATTTGTCTAACTCGAGTTTGGTGAAGTATTCAATTTCCTTCCTCACTAGAGATCCAATTGTGCCTCTTGTGCCTATAGCAACTGGAGCAGGAGCACTCATTCTCACTCTATTTGAAATTTTTGGCTTTAATGGCTGAAGTGGCAGTGGCAGTGGCACTGATTTTATAGCTCCTTTTAGATTAAGATAATTGAGGTCATTGTCCTAAATTTCATTTTCAATTTGGACCATCTTCTAAATTTGTTATATGCTTTATGAAAAGCAGCCTAATTGAAAAGAAAAAAATTGAAATACTTGTCTGACACGGTTTGTACAAATGCCAACAGATGTTGAACACCGATCTAAAGACAAAGACACGGTTTCTATAAATGCTAACATAGGTTGGACACCGATCTAAAAAATGTGAGAACAAATAATATTTATAAAAAAATACTTGTTTAAATCATCTGATATGTGTTGTACAAATATCTGACACTAATAAATTATTTGACAAAATCTAATTTCTTAGGGCGCTTGACTAGAACTCAAGGGTTCACTATTTTAGTTTTTATCTTCATGTTGCTTAAAAGTTAATTTCCGCCTTTCATGCCAAGGCCAAAGAAAAGAGGTTGATCTTTCATTGTCTTAGTGTTGTGCTTTTTGTGGGAAGGGGGGCCTATTAATTTGCTGTCTAGCTAATAAACTCTTTTGTTAGAAGATTCTCTTTGACTTTAAACATCATGTAGTTGATTATCAAATAAGTTTGAAATGAAATGATGCATTGTTTTGGAAAGACAAAAAAATGTTCCACAATCATCCACTGTGCATGAATGCATGGACTCGTGGAGCGGCATGTAGAAAAGCAGCATAATCTTTATTTACACAGTTTTTTGTTACCTTTTCCTCCTTGATTTCAGCATTAGATTTTAGAAAGAAGAACTGTAAAGCAAAATATATTATAAATTTCAGTAATTGCTTGTCTGGTAACTACAGATTATTAAGTTACTACTTACTAATTGTGGACTGCCGACCTTAATGAAAATAAACTTAAACATGTTTTTGAATTTTTATTTACAAAAGGTGAAGAATTTAGTTAACAACTGCTCTTTCAAATTCAAGTTTCGAAGATTTAGAGTTAATGTACTCGGGGTGTGACTATGTTATAGTGAAAACAAATGGAGATTATTAGAATGGAAACATTTTAACCAAATTTAAAATAAATAAATAATAAAAAATAATTTTAAAAAAAAACCTCCTAATATTCCTCTTTTTTATAATGTTTACTGACTTTTACATTTGAGGAAATATATATCACTTTGAAGGATATTTTTTATAAGCTAGTTAATAAAGATGTATTAGTAAACAAGGGAAGAAACAAATTAACAAAGAGATATAGTTTACAAATGACAATGCACATATCTGTAAGCCTCAAAATTGGTTGTTGACTCTATACTTGTATATATATGCTCTCACATAGAGACTCTCAATTTTTGTTTTCGTTTTTTTAAATTATTTTGTAAGATTGGGAGAACAAATTATTGTATGTCGGGGAGATGGCACACATACCCCATTCTTCGATAAGAAGCGAGGGCATGTTGCAAGGCAACATTAACACTAGCACCCTCCTTATATAATGTTTCATACAAAATACAAACGAATTGCGACAGCTCCTCTTCGTCGTCTTCCCAAAAAGACGCGCAGTCTCCAACTTTCTCAACGTCACTGTCTTCCCAATCACTTACTGGACTGGCAGGTATGTTCTCGTCATCTGCTTCATCTTCTCCAATTTCAAACTTTCCATTTTCCATCACATTCAACTCATTGGTACCATCCAAGGTCGACAACTGAGACTCTGGGGGTTCATTTGAAGAACATATAACAGCTTTGGCCCCAGAATCCAGAAAGGCCTTGATAAGTGCAAGAGTAGGTCCATATGTCCCTGTGCATATAATTATCCTGTCTCTCCAAGCTCCAACCTAGATTATTCAAGATACCAGAAAAACAGAAATAAGTCAGAACATTCTCACGTATATGACAGAGGATCTAAAGCGACAAATGACTAGCAATTTCTTTCCTCTATACCTCATGCATCAGCAAAATGCTGCTGTACGGGAGAACAGAGACGGCATACAGCACAAACTCTAGTAGATCTTAAATTGCAATCATAAAAAAAGGAAAGCACGGTTCTCCGTGTTATTAAGAAGCTATGCCAAGCTATTATTGCGATTCGATCATTCTTCTTCAAAGCTATGATTGTTCCTAGAAAAGTACTCCGGAAAATATTTAACTAACAAAGCACACAACTAAGACAACGAAACATATACGAACCAATTTCTTTACAGTCCTCCAAAAAGAAAGACATTTGACTAACAAAAACAGACGCCATAATTGCCAAAAAGATGGCTGTAGATGATATCTTACAGGCCTACAATACCCACACAGACTAATGCTTTAAAAAATTGCCTAAGCTATTGTCACTATAAAATGATAATCCATACAGTGGGATTGCTTAAAATTCTATTGAAAAAAAAAGGAGTTTTATGTTCATTGTTCACCCATGAAAAGCCAGGGATAATCAAAGGACTAACATTCGACCACCATTCTATACCATAAACATCAAGATCAGAATGCTGAAAGAGAACGATGTATAATAGTGCCCCTATTAATTTACGTGAAGCTCTGTCAAAATGTACATCCAAAAAGTCAATTAGAAAATTAAAGTGGGAGCAGAGCACATACCATCCATCTTATATCCTCAGCTGATAACTGCATAGAAGGGACAGTCCTACGAAACATATAGGAACCAATTTCTTGATTATCTTCCATTATCTACACAAGAGATATCCAACTCAAGCTTCTAATATGTATATTATTAATTTAATTTCAAAACCTTATAAAGTATAAAGGACGTAGATATACCAGGGTTTGACGGCCTAGATATCGGTGAACAATGCCTCCAATTTGGAAATAAGGTTTAAACGAAACTAAATCAGAAATAGTAGAGATATTGGCCAAGAGAGATGCACCCTTTCTGCGATGGCTCCTCAATGTTGATAGCAAACTGAGTTTTACACTTTGTAGAAACTTCTCTGCAAGATCTCCAGGTTCAGCCACCACAAATACATCATTGTGCCAACTAAATAAAAGGGCAACATTATCAGCATTCCGTCCGTAGGCAGAAAAAGAACTGTTTATAACAGAGACTCATAAAACATGGTAGCAAATACCTAATAACTAAGCCATCTGAGTCAGCTTGAAGTGCCAAATGGATAACGCCCACTTGTGGGGAATTCTGCAATTTTTCATGCAATGCTTTGACAGGCAAAGAAAGCTGTCTAACTCCTCGAGGAGAAATTGGAGGTGATGCGATTGTTCTTCCCTGTTGACCATCTAAACTTAAAGGGGGGACCAGATCAATTCGTCCAATCCTTTGACCAAAATCAGGACTATACACAAGCGGACTTGAAGGGAAGCTTCCTGTAAACATAGGAGACGCAAATGGAGTTGGGAATCTAGATGATGGCAAGTTCTTTACCATCCCAGCCAAACCTTGCATGAGGGATAGCCGTATGCCATTACGAGCACAAAATGACTCAAGTGCCCGGGCATGGTGGACCAATCTTCCGGAATCTGGATTATGTGAAGCTTCAACAAGTAGTACATTACGCCTCCACCCTAAAGTGGGGCCATTGACACCTGATAAAACATGATAAAAACAATCTCAATATTTAAGCGGTGGACCAATTAAAGTGAAATTTTACATAGAAAACATGTGATTCACAATACCCTCAAGTGACTCCTTTGTCTTGGGAAATTTAGTTCTCAGATTCTCTGACCACTTATCCTCATGCTGGAAAGGAAGAAGCAATCTCTCACAGGCATTTTCAAATGCCAGATGATTCTGCTGTATATATTCTTCAACTGCAGATTCCAGCTTAAGCCAAATAGTTGGATCTGTCTCATCAAGTTCCATGTCACAGCGTTCATCAACTGTTCGGAAAAACACATAGAACACTTGCTGAGAATAAAGATTTTTTTGAAGAATAGAAGCTGTTTGACGACACTTCTTCATTAAACAACAGGAAAAAGAATGAAGTTAAAATTGAAAGAGAATTTTAAAAAATTGAAAATTGATTCAACTAGAATTGGAAGAAGGTTACTCCATTCTCACACTCCAAAACGGAAGCAGGATACCTGGATTGAAACGATAATAGTGCATCTCAGGAAGCATAGGTAGCAATGTACTTAAAGCTTCCTCTACCCTATCAACAGAGCATGCACTCTCAACCAACACCTGTCCAGTATCCATATACCGCCAACCACCTTTTCGTACCTACGACAATATGAATTTACAATAATAAATTCTTTCGAATTCTTTCAATAAAATATAATTATCAAATTCTTTCGAACTTTCATGTTAAAGGAAGTGTAGAAACAAATGTGACATTGGAATAACTACCAAGGTCCTTGATCTTCTTATCCAAATGCAGAATATTATTACAGATTCAAAACAAAGATTAGTCACCTTAGTTGGAACAGAACCGGACCCTATTGAAACCAGGGTATCAATTTTTGTGTCAGGCCACAGAAGTTGTGCTTCTCTTATCGCAAAAATTGTAGGATTATTTGCCACAATTGCTCCATCTTGCCAGCGGTTGACATCTAAGGACCGTTGCCGGATGAAGAGACACATGTCAAAAACAATACAGAAGAGGAAATCACAAACATAAATACTACCTCCGGTTCTATTTATAAGAGAGTTTACTTTTTAGATTAACTGAATAATCAATGTATTTGAACCAGATACATTGATTATTCAAATAATCTAAAAAGTAAACTTCCTCTTATAAATAGAACCAGAGGGAGTACATAGAATTTGATATAAACAACAGCAGAGCCATCAGTACCATCAGAGAAATCATCAAGATAATATGGAGCTGCAGAGGACGCTCTGATAGCCTGCCACACTTGATGCTTACAACTTCCAATGAATGCACTGCGCTTATAGCCAACTTGTGCACTCATAGGTGAGGTTAACACGGCAATCCCTGAACCATCTGATGCTGCAAGAGCCACCTCTGGTGTTCCAGCAGGGTACTACAGTTGTGAATGGAAAGGCAGAAAGGGTGAGTGGGAAAATGAATTATAAAGAACCAATATATCAACATCCACGGACAAGTGTAACTTAGAAGCCCGTATAAATATTAAAAATAAAAAATTAGGTTCACACCTGATAATTGCGAAATATGAAGGGTTGTGCTGGCACCATGTTCACTAATGTTGAGACTACAAAAACTTTGGGAACATTTTTTACTGCAGAGTCTATTAATAAATCCCCATCCTCATCAACACATAGCTCCTTCAATAGCCTCTCAAACTGTTCTGCACTGTGCTGCAAGACAATGAGTCAAAATACTCCTTTTAGGAGATAGAACTAAATAGATAGATAAATAAAGCTGTCCAGATATCTAATGGCGGCAGAAAAAAGAATGCATTATGCACTTTTCTAATACCTATCAAGCTCATGCAGCAGCTCCTAGTGATGCTTATAATAGGCTGTATAGTTGAATTCTGCTGTTAGTCAGTTTGTTCAAACAAACTGACAAACTATCAGTTAGTTTACGGTTTTTCGTAGTGACAAATATTAGTTGTTATTTTGTTGGTGGAGGGAGTTGAACCTATGAGTATGACCTTCAAATCACTCCAACCATTATATCCCTCCCAAACCAAGTCACCTTATCACTTAGTTCAGTTTAACTAATTGCAACTGACTAGTCCTCTATAAGTAGAACTTTTGTAACTCATTCACATACAAGCAATTTAGATACGGCTTCAGATCCAGAAAACAAAAATATTCTTTCACTTTCCAACAGTTTCCTTCACTTTCTCTTCTGATTAACATTTAATATGGCAATGAAGCTTCCTTTTGATCCAACACCAGTGACTTTCACCGTCAATCCTATTGCTTTAAAGTATCGAATTATTAACTAAGATTCCATACCATTTTCAAGCCAAGTCACTATCAAACCTGATGAGAAACTTTTCTCCCGCAGAAGAAATAGATGAAGGTATCATCAGAGATTCAGAGATTACATTACATACTAAAGAATTATGTTTGTTAGAGATAAATCTAATTAAGCATGGCAGCTTGTGCCTGTGCCAGCTGGCATACAGTTATTACTTTCTGTTATATCAGTTCCTTGAAATCAGTAAACGCCTCCTTGATACCAAGGAACTGATATAACATCAACTAATAACAGTATGACAGCTGGCACAGATGTTAGTCATTCAATTCCTCCATTCTTGGCTGAAGCAGTTGCGACCTTGGAATCATAAACTGTGAATATTATGAATGGAAACAGCCTTCAATGCTCTTCACATGCTGTTGCGATTGGTATAGAAGAATATCACAAAAGATTATCCTACCTTATACAAATATCTTGAGCAGATCATGGCTATCATTGATACTCTTGGGTTAGTTGGAGACCGGTATCCCACCGTAATCATCTAGAAACTATACTTGAAGGTCTTCCATATACTGCCTTTTCTGAACTGACACAAATTGAGGGTGAGGTCCTTATGACTGAAGTCCACATCTGGATCATGCATTTATCGTATATTGTGTTTGGAAATCACCATTTTTGCGGTAGTACCATGCAGTGAGCACGAAGCTACTCCTTGGAGAAATGAGCTACCCCACGGTGAGAGATGAATGGTTGCATTTCCAAACACCCAATTAGACCAAGCTTAATATCTTGGTGGTCCTAAAAGCAAACAATAGTAACTGGAATCATTATTGAGGCAGAACACAAAAGCACTGTCAGCACTGATTGCAGAAATTGTGGGTGCAGTCCTTGATTACTGTGCTTGAAGTCAATTTCCAAACTCCTATCACTTAATGTGACAACTTAAGTAATGTATCCCTATTACACAATCCAGTGCTTCATGTTAGGACCAAACATATGGATCTCTGCATCTTTGAGCAAGAGAAAGTACTTGATAAGAAAGTCATAGTCCATCATATCCCTGCTTCTGATCCAAATGTAGACATTCTCACCAAGCCCCTCTCCTCACTACAGTTTACTACTCTTTGAGACAGACTCATGGTGTTTGATAAGTTAGCACTTGATCTACCACCTTGAGTTTGAGGTGGAAATACTGGGTAATTTGTAATACTGTAGCGGAGTTATCATGCTCATGCAGCAACTTCTAGCTGCTATATTCAGCCCTTTTAAACTCTGTTATAGACTTATACTCTTGTAGTCAGATAGTTCTAATAAAGTGACACAATTACCAGTTAGGAGAATTTAACTAATTTCAACTGATTGTTGTTTACTCATTCACATACATGAAATTCAGACAGTTCAGAGAATTCTCTCTCAAACTATCAATTTAATTCATTTTCACTTCTGCTTAACTTCTAATACACTGTCTTCAATATGAAATAAATTACACAACAAACATTGTCTCATTTCCACCCCCATTTCTAAAGGACATGCTCCAAATATCATATAAACAAGTAGCGTACAAAACGAGTATGTGAGAATAGAGGAGCTAATCTGGACCACTGAGAAATGAATGGTTGAGATTGGTTTTGCTTTAGAATTAATATTGACTATCATTTATGGTGGTTGGTCAAGATTAATTCCAATCGTAAAAGCATGTTCATGTATGTAAAAGAGAGGTGATAAAAGAATTGACAGTACAAAAAACATAAAGAAAAGAAGTGCATACTTTTGATCCGTGAACAACAACTCTAAAACTTTGTGATGAACTCTTATAAAGCTGATCTAACTTGTCTCTCCAAGTTGCAGCTTCGTTATCCTTGGGAACAGGCTCAGCAAAAACAAGTTTCCCTGGTTAAAAATTGAGTCAGCTTAGAAAGAATGACAGGGTATATAAATAGATCTATAAAATTTAAAAGTATAATTTGTGCCATTTTAAAGCAACATCCTCACCAAGATTCTTGTATATATCTTCACATTCTTCTAAAGTCATTAACTTCATCCCAAGGGAAACAGCTAGCATGCCACCCGTTGATGTACCACATATTAAATCAAACAACTCATGTATTCGTTTTCCGGTTCCATTTTCAATTTCCTTTAACATTTGCACGGTTGCTAGACCTTTCATCCCACCTCCATCCATTGAGAGTATGCGAAGCCCTTGCTTTGCCACTTGTTTCCCTCTTATTGCACGCCTCAGGTTTTCATTCTCACCTACAGCACATGGAAGAATGAATTAATTCAATAAACGGAATAAAACATGCTGAAAACACGGCTAAAGTTATCTCCAGAGGCAAACCAAGAATTGCCAAAGCACGAGCTGCAGCTTTATAAACACGTGGTTCAGTTGCAACAGCCATCCGTAAGAGAAGTTCTCGCAAACTTTCAGAGGTAACAAGGACACGACGATTCTCCAGACAAAAGGCCAAATTCCCAACAGCTAACAGAGCTAGTCTTTGCACCTATGAAGTAAACCTTTAGATTAAAAGATTATACAATATAAAGATTTGTTTGATTTCAAAAATTGTTTAGTGTTCTAATTTTTCCCTTTTAATTGCAAAACAACCACGTTGATTTTTGCTTTGTTACTTGTAGTCCATGATTTGTACATGAAACAGTAAAAACAATAAACAAAAAAGAGATTTTTTTTCAGTTTCCTATACATATAAACAAAAGACAGTGAAATATGGCAGTTCTCTAATTAAAAGTGAAAACAAATTGATTAAAAAAAATGTTTTATCAAAACTCATATGGAATCAATTAAATCATTATAACGAAATGAAACTAACTTGCCTCTGGATCTTTATATGCACATAAGATTTTCAATGATTTCAAAACATCCTTGGTCAACATCTTCTGAGCAACGGTATCAGATGTAAAAGCCAGCTTAACCACAACATGCAATACAGATATAACCTCTTCCCGGCCTGCAGATTTCAGAACTATTCCAATTGGTTGCATGATGTCTGCCTTCATCAGCTGCAGTGCGACAGAATCATCAGAGGCAAGGGCTGAAAGAGCAGAGCAGGCTTGTTCAACCTGTAAAATATTAAGAATAATCATGATGATCAAATATAACAGCAGAGTATATAAAAACCTGGTGATCTCTACACCCATTAAAACATACCACATGACAATTGTCACTGCTTATCATACTTATGAGCTGCCGCACTGCATTCTCATCTTTACCTACAAATGCTCTATTTCCTTGGTCTTGCATAATCTTTCCTAGAGCAGATGCTAGTAATGGGTGATGACAAGAAGAAAAACGGAATATAAGAGAGAAGGCAGCACTAAGTTTATGCCTAGATGCACCAAAATAAGAACTGTTTTCCATCTGCAATGACCAGAAAAAGTATGTTTAACTGAATATGTAATATGTTTTGAATGATCTCAAAAAAAAATAGTCCAGTTAGATTGCAAATTGCCACCTCTATTTGCACGTTTACTGATCTCAAATTTTCATCCGCGACAATCCTAATGTTTGCAAGAGAAAGATGACGAAGTTTGTGTAGGGGCAAAATTTCCGGAAGAAACTCAAGAGGATTTCCAAATAGCCTAAGAACACGTAGTTCAGCCATAGCCCTATCATATGGTAACAGTAAGACCAGAAGAAAACATGAAGTCCAAACAAATTCACAAAAACCATCTAACCCAAAAACCTGAAGTCAAGAAGAGGCCGAACAAGCCTGTTGTGTTCCAATGACAACTCCACCAATTCCACACATTGTCTCAGTTCCACTGCTCAAAAAGCAACAAAAAAAATCAGATAAAAGCATGAAACACTAATCTTAAAACCTCGAAACCACTTTAGGAAATATCTTAATAGTAAACATCCAGGATCCACAGGGTCATTTTTAATGCATTGCCGCATTAAGTGGGGCCCATAACTTCTGTTACCCAATTCAATAAGGTTTCCATGTTTGTTTTCAATCGGTAGCTTCATGTATCCTAAGACTGCTCATTACTTTCAGATAGTGTTGTTGGCTCATGTTTACTCAGTGCACATACTGTAAACATGAAAATATTTCTACATCTACTAGGCCCGTATGAAAACAACTGATCTACTACTATCCTTGCATAGTAGTAATCCGAACAACGAAACACTTACCAGGTACAGAGACAAGCATGTTGTTGTCAACTCTAAGCACTCTTAAGCTTCTTAGCTCACCAAGCTCGGGTGGCAAAACGGTCAGCTTATTGTTATTTAGATATAGTTTTTCTATTTGCGGCAATTGTGTAAGTTCTACTGGAAATACCTGCATACAAATAGTGTTAAAAACATCTCTGATCCAACTCAATCATGTATGACTTCCGCGCCGAAATTATGAAATTAAATGCCCTTCCAGAGAATCAAGGAAGAGATACAGCATTAATATTTCATGTTACTTAGCAATAAATCAGAGTATCAACAAAACCAGACTAACTAATTCATTAAATTTTATATCAATCAACAGCCATCAGATTAACAAAATCATACATATGAATCGCAAAGGTAAAACTTATACAACATATGTTAAATAATGAAACTCAAAGAGATTGAACTTCATTAACTGCATAAAATAATATCAGAAGAAACTACTCTAATCAAAGCAACAATAAATCCATAAAATTTGACTCGCATTGAATAACGACAAAGTAAAGCTCACCGACAAGCCACAACCACAAATACTAAGCACAGCAAGAGTCGTCCAATGGTGTCCGCCACCACGTGGAACACTCTCGTCGCCCTCCGGCGTCGGTGAAGCCATCTCAGAGCGCAGCAACCGTGTCAAAACACCAGTGCCATCACTCTGCAAACCAGAGTTAACAGCCTTAGCCATTGTGATAGCCCTAAGTGGATCCCTTCTCTTAACCACCTTCATACTCAAATCCACATAATCCTCATCATCGTGACGAGGCGTCAACTCAATCACGACGGTATCCTGCGGCATCGGCAAAGCCACCATGAGTTGTGACTGAAGCTTTAACGCAACCTGATCTTCATCATCCGATGACGACCAATCCAATTCAATTCGAAAACCGAGGTCCTGATCCTGAGATACGATTGATGAGGAAGAAGATGAAGAGGAGGAGGAAGATGCTGATGAGGAACGGGAGGAGGTTGAAGTACGGGCGAGACTCTCCGGTGGATCGTCATTGCCGTAGCTGAGAGTAAGGTGGAAGATTTCGGAGGGTCTCTTCCAACCTAATCCCCAAGACATTATGAAATTGGGATCGAGATGCAAGAATCAGTTACACCATGGAGTCGTTGAATTTGGCTATAGATTGAGGTGAATCCGATCGTTGCTGAATGAAGATTAGGCGATAACTGATTCAACAAAATGATGAATCTGAGGATGAAGATTTCAGTGAGTGAAAATCATGCACACAACGCTGATGGTATATCTGAGAAGGAACCGAAGCAATGTCTGAGATGATTACCAGTTGTAATTAATTAATTAGTTAATTAACATAAAATCCTATCAATTTCTGAATCAGTGTCCTTTATTTTTTTTTTGTTTATCACTTTATATTCATTTTTATTTTATTGGTTTTAATTATTTTTGTCCTTTATTTTACAAAGTTTGTACATTAAGACAGCCTATTTATTTTACGTTTCAGTTGTTAACATTGTAATAAAAAATCTCAATTTTTTAAAATTTTGACTTTAGTACACCAAATACTACCTTTATAATTATCAAATGAGTTTCTTATAATCAATATTTTTACATCAATACATAAAAATGAAACATAATCAATATTTTTATTTTAATAATATTATTTTTCATTTTCATGTATTTATTGTTATTTTTTATTCATTTTTCTCTAATAAATAATAAAAAACATTATAGAAAAAGTAATGATTAATGTTGCATTGAATTTTGAAAGAGATTTATAAATAGAAACAAATCTTTTCTTTGCGATAAATAGTTTAAAACCAATATTTTAAAAATTGTACTAGAGATTTTATGTCTAAAATATTTAGATTAAAATTTAATTAATTTAATCGACTAAATTCACAATCGAACTGTTTATCAAATAAATTAATAATATATAACTAAAATAATTACTGCTTACTTTTATTGTGAAATTTTAATGCCAAATACACTAACTTGTTTTATAAAACTCATACTATGGACATTTTGTAATTCGATCTAAAGGTAATAATCACATTAAAACTCCAAATTAAAAAAAGACATAACCAAAAGTGGTAAAAGTTAATGAATCAAACTGAGAAAAATAAAATAAAGGGTTGGAGATATATTTTATATTAAAAAAACACTTGAAAATGTATCTACATAAAGTAATTAGTAATTTAATAAACTATGGTTTGATAAAGTATCTAATTTATATACACACAAAAATAAAATAAAATAAAAATATTATAAATATAATGTCACTTCACTCAATGAGCATGTATTTTTAATAACCAGTAATGCAATGTTTTTATGAAAAATCAAATTAATTTCAAGTAAGAAGTCTCCATCATCATTTAATGATAAATTTTCATTAAAAAAATATTAGATCCATAAAGCTAATATTTTTCTATCATTTAAATGACACTTATTATATTGAATTTTAGAACTAATTGCCTCCGGCTCTCCACTCTATTCATAAGCACCCCCGCGGCCGACTGAATTTTATATTTAGATTTGGTAAGTTTAACTTTTTCTAATTGACTTCATTGAGAATTCTTGTTGTCTAATTAGCTTGTACTCTCAAAAGCATTTTTTTTTTCTCATTTTGAAAAACATTAATTTAACAAATTATGGGTTGTTTGTTTTAACTTTAGAAAATAACTTTTTCTTTATATTCTTAAAAATTATTTTTTAAAATATTATAAATTTTTTTATATTTATTTTTTCTAAATTATAAGACTAAAGTTTGATATCGCATAATGTAAACATACATTATTGAAGATCAAAATTGTTTTGGACTGAGCCAGAGGCTGACCCACTGTCGGGCACGCCCCAACCCAGCTCATCGTCAGGGAGGTCCAATGAAAGCTCAATCCATTAACGCATACGGGGAGCTCTCACACGTCTCCCCCACGGTCTCCACGTGTCCCCCACGCGGGGACATGTTAACATGCAACTACCTACCTTTTGAAGATCACGGGGCAATTGACCCAGGGCGAAGACCATGTGCTGGTCTTTCCTATGCCACGTAAGCCCTGGCAGTTACTCGTATTAGGCATTGCAATTCAACCTAGTGTAAAGTAACTATTGGCGCAGCGCTTGGGGCACATTGTAAATACTCTTTTTCAGTAGAGTGTCAGGTATTTAATTTTCTACACACTTTCTTTGTACTTTACTCTTTCTACTTCGTCTCTTACTTTAACATTGCAGTACCTTGCAGGTACACCCCCTTCTTCTTCTCCACCACCGGTGAATTAAGGAGCTCACGACGTGTTGCTGGCTGCTGATCCTTTCTTGATCTGGTAAGATCAGTGGTACCATCTGCGGGAATCTTGCTTCCTCGTTCTTCCTTCTAAAGAAATCCAAGAATCAAAGCATACCTCAACCTCCGTTGATCATGGCTAGCCCACGCAATGACAACAACATCCCTGAAACCGCCTTCACCTCGTTCACCAACGACGACGATCACGATCCCAATGTGACCGTTCACGCCGAGGAAGGTGATGCCAAGGACGGGCACACTTCCTTAATGTGACCATCCACGCCGTAGAAGCCCTCAATACAACTCGTCCCCATCGCAATCGTCCATCAGAAGTGAAGAGGATGACCCACGTACTCCGCTGTCTAGGGCTATCATAGAAACTCGCCTCTCCGTCGGGATGGAAAAACCCCTAATACTGGCTACCTATGATGGTACCACCGATCCAGACGACCACATTGAAAGCATCGACATGATGCTTGACTACAGAAACGTCAAGGGAGCCATCAAGTGCAGGTTTTCCCCCCACGACCTTGAGGAAAAGTGTGATGGTGTGGTATAAGAGCCTTGAGCCCGAGTCAATCACCTCATAGAGAGAGCTGAAGAAGCAGTTCTCCAGGCACTTTACTGCTTTCTGGCGACACCCAAAGACGAAAGCATCCCTGGAAGCCGTCATCCAAGGAAAGGAAGAATCTCTCCGGGATTACATATAGAGATTCAACTGAGAAGTGTACAAGTAGCCACCTCGGATGACATGAAGAGATATCTAATTAAACGAGGACTGCGACCTCGAACTGAGTTCGCTAAGGCCGTCGGCATCGAAAGGTCCAACACGCTAGACACGCTCCTCCACAAGGCCCAAGCTTACGTTCACTACGAGGAGAAGGAGGTTGCTAACTGCACCCGCGACTCGCGGAACCAAGAGAGTTCCAGAAACTTCAGGCACGAAGACTCTACCACTCCTATGCGAGGTGGTGAGAGAAGGAGAGAAGATCGGCCCCGAGACTCCCGAGAGCAAAAGGGGCCAGCTGGCCGATTTATCGAGTACACGCTACTCATAGCTCCCCGCGAGCGCATTCTGGCTAAGTGCATAAACTCAGAGTTCCAAAGAGGTGGTGTCCATTTCCCAAAGCCAACGCCCCCTAAGCCCAACGTCGACAAGTCCAGGTACTGTCGGTTCCACCGGAGCCATGGACACGTCACGAAAGATTGCATCCACCTCAAATATGCCATCGAAATCCTAATCAAAGAAGGGCACCTGAAACAATACACTAGAAGGAATGAGGTTCCTCGACATGAAACTCACGAGGCGAAGAGGGTCGAGGAGGTGCCACCACCCTCCGACGAGGCCGGGCTGCAAGTTGCCTTGTGCATCTCTCGACCAGAGGACTTCTACCTCCCCTACGAGTTCGACACAACGATGTCCGCTCGCAGCCCTTAGGAGAACTTCCCATCCACGATGGTCATATTCGGCGGGGGTCTCAGCAAGCTTTCAATAGGGTCAGTCAAGAGGAAATTTGAGGAGCTGGTCGACAAGATTTCAAAGCAGAATGCCACCCTCGAAAAGTTCAAGTGGAACTTGAATCCGATCACCTTCTACCTCGAGGAGCTGTCGGGCAACGCCCCCAACTCCATCACTCCTCTGCTGATCAGGGCTCGGATAGAGAACTTTGACGTCCGCCGCATTCTTGTCGACCAAGGAAGCTCGATGGACATTATGTACACCCGCCTTTTCACCACTCTTCAGCTTGACGAGAGTCATCTGACGCTGTATGTTGGCTCTGACTTGTAAAGCTTCAATGAAACCACCACGAGACCATGGGGATACGTGGAGCTCCTCGTCACCTTCGGATCTGAAGAAACTGCGAGATGGGTCAAGTTCTGCTTCCTGGTGATATAATGCCCATCATTGTATCAATGCATTATGGAGAGACCGACCCTGGCCAAGTTGACTGCGGTGTCGTCTACGGTGCACCTAAAGATGAAGTACTACACAACCAGGGGTCGAGCAGTCATCCTCTACGGAGACATCAAAGCAGCCAGAAGATGTTTCAAAGCAATCATCAAGAGACTCAACTCGATCAACATTAGGCCCAAGAATACCGACAAGTCATCTCGAACTGAGGAGCAAAAGCCGTTGCCCCGCGTCACTCCATCGACCTCGGCAGCCGCTTCCCCAACAGACAAGAGCAAAACGAAGTACCGGAAGACGCGCCTCCATCAAATAACGGGTAACCACTCCACCCAATACACCCCATTCCATATGGCGAGTTCGAGCTTATCATGCTCGGTGACGATCCCGACAGAAGTGTGAAGATTGGAAATGGGCTCCCCCGCCTGGCAAGGAAGCAGATGAAGGCCTGCCTCTGGGAGAATGCTGACCTCTTTGCTGGAGTGTCACAGAGATGCTCGAGCTTGACCCCGACATGGCTTGTCACCAGCTCTCCATAGATTCGGCCGCTAGGGCTGTAGTACAACGTAGGTGTGTCATACCCCAAATTTGTCATATTTTCTGTTTCGACGATAGCCAGTCAGGGAAGTGTGGTATGGATTGATGTTCATTTAGTTTTAACTTAATCTTAGTCAGTCAATGATTCGCTCTATGATCAGGTTATGACAATGCACTTCAAGATCCTTAAAGATGAGTGCATTTACCAAGTAGAGTTTGGGCAATGTAAAGTCTACTGAAGGTAATAGCCTGCTAGACATGAAAAAAAAATTTGTTTCGGTTAGCAAATGTCAAAGTTCAAGGCTCGGCTGTGTACGATTGTCAATATGGATCCATGATTAAACATTAATTTCGTACACTTTAAGAAAACGGGGA